ATCCCCCTCTTCCCTTTATCACCGACGCGGGGCGTGTGCCACCGGAAAAAAAAAAAAAAAAAAAACACCACCCAAACCCGGTTTGTAAAAACCCCCCCCCCCCCCCCCCCCCCGAGTCCTTGAAACGCCCCAATGCAACGATGCTAGAGTGAAAAAAAGTAATGACGATGAATGCAATGGATATTGTCTATGTTCGTGTATGCCTTTGTCGACAACGGCCTAAACAATTGATTCTTCGATATATGTGGTTTGTTTCCTGCCACCCGCGCCGCCCGCGTCATGCGTGATATCGTTCCTCTTGACGATGATGAGCTGGAGATATGTATATATCGTGGGGGTATTATATGTGTATGTGCGTAGACCGGCTAAGACCCGAAAGTAATAAAATACAATATGCGCGGTGGGTTCCTGCCGAGAGCGCGCACAACTTTAACGGTGTCTGCTTACCCGGAGCAGCTTTGTTCTTAACCATAAGATGAACATGGTCCAGGTGCTCTGGGTCCGTCTCTTGGCCGTATTTCTGCGTCTGGTGGGCTGGAAGGGAACGCTCTGCGCTCCTCCGGCTTCGTTGCCAAAAGTAGGCGGGCTTCTCGTATCCATGTTGTCGTAGTTGCTGCTAGCAAATACCTCGGGTTCTCCCAAGGGGCTAGGGACGTTCTTTCGAGACGTGCTCGGTCGCGACATGCTGGTCCGAGAGATGGCTAGGCTCGGACGGTTGCTACTCGTTGCGCTAAACTTCCTGTGGTGTTTTCCGCGAGCAATCGCTTCCTCGAGCTCTGCCGCCTCTAATCGGGCTTTCACTGCCATCTGCTCCTTGTGCATAGCCGCCGCATGCTTTTCTTTTTCCAGAGCGCGCTTGTTGTCGGCTCGCTCGCGACGCTTGATCTCCTCTCGCGCATATTTTTCCTCTTTGGCCTTCTCTCTCAATTCAAATTTTCGACGCGCTTCTCGAAGGTGCTCAGCGCGGGTAGCAGTGTCGAGGTCCGACTTCGCGCGCAAACGCGGAAAGCCGCTCGCGTCGAACGAAGAACGTAGAGGAGACATTGGAGTTGAGCTGGCCGGTGATGCGACGTGATTTGAGGTGGGATTAGATGAGGATATGGGCGAGTCTTTAATAAGATCTAAACGGAAGTCCGATTGACTTGGGACTCTGGGGAGGTGAGAAGGTAGGGCTTGCGACGCTAAGACGGTCCGTGACGTGTTTATTCGGAGAGAGGGTGGGTGTTGAGAAGTATAGGACACGGACGATTTCGCATTTTTAACTTCTGTAAATGACGAAGTGCGCTGTGTACTTGCTAAAGACGGGCGCCGGATGCCTAACGTAGGTTGCGAATGTGAATGGGAGTTCATCTGAATATGAAGGCTATTCCTATGGCTGTGACTGGCATCTATGCTATTGCTTGCGCTGCGTCCGCTACCAGTGCTATTGGCGTTATCATCGTCCTCGTCATCCTCGTCCTCCGTAATGTCGAAGAAGGATGTTTGCGAATTGGCATACGATAGTGGCGGGGTCGAAGTCCGTGGGGTTTGTTGAAAGGGATGTACAAACGGTCCATTGGTCTGGTGGCGCGGACCTGAGTTACTAGATGTCGCGATTGATACGCGGCTAGCACCGCTAATAGACCTCGCATGATTGTATGGTTTCGCCCCAGCCTCTTCCAAAGTATAATTTAACTCTTTAGTCGACTCTTCGTACACTACCGTCACCCCCTTTCCTTTTGCTCCTCCTCCTCCTCCTCCTATCCAACTCTCGCGGCTCTGATATTGCTCATCCTGGTCCGTCCATGTCCTATCCAAATCTAACGAGCTCTTCTCCGACTGCGATGAAAGTTTCTTCAGAATTGGTTTGACCGCATTCTTAGCTCTCGACTTGCTTATCTTATTGCACGAGCCACGCGATCCGAACCCCGGGAGAGTTTGAATTGAGGCCATAGCGTAGAATGGCATGGGAACGATAGCCGACGTGCGGAAGTATACAGGTATACGTATACGTGTACGTATATGTATAGTTAAATGGGATAGAGGTAGTTAAATGTAAATATAAATGTTAATGGAAGTATATATAACTCTCTCTCACACACACACTATCATATACTATACGCGTACGTATTTGCCCGTCGCTAATCACAGAGCCACCGGCGTAGGTAAATAAGCCGTCTGGGAAGACAAACGGGATTGTTCTATGCGAACAAGTTAATTCTTTTGTCGCGCGCCGGAGCAGAGGGAGCAAAAAGGGGGCTCGTAGGGGCCCGCAAGACGGCCAAAGAGTCGGGATCACCGGAATAAAGACATTGAATAGGACCGACACTAAAGGGTCAGGTGCGCGACGACAGCTAACGATAGCTAGGGAGTTGTTGTTAGGTCGGAAGAATAAAAAGATTAAAAAGATAAAAAAGATGAATAAATCACTCAGAGCCTAAGGACGAGAGTTGTGCGAGAAGAGTGAGAAGTGAGAAGAAGCGATGACTAAGACCAATAATAAGACAATAAAATGGTTAATGGTCAAAGTAACATCAATAATAAGAAGACTTATATGCTTCATATGCTTCTAGATGTTCTAGGAACAGCAATTCTCGGGAGTTTTATCGTCCTTCTACCATGTGATAATAAATAACTGAGTCGGATAAGATGAACTGGTGGGCCCAAGTTTTGAGGGGTGGAGGGATTGAGGATTGTTCGGTCAATACAGCATAACGATGCGGATGGGACGCGCAGCAATTACCAGCATCCAAAGCTCGGTTCACCCTGGGAGGGGGGGACCAAGGCGGTGAACCATAGAACAAAAGCGGTATCTTCCTTCTCTCAAAACAATGGCTTTATTGGTGATAGCGTATCATCGGGTGAATTGGTGCTGTTCTTCTAACAATAACAATAGAATAAAAATAACAAGCAAGAAGAACAATAAATGAATCAATAAGCTAATCAATAATGACGAGTAAGCAAAAAATGTGTTTTTAGTGATGATGGTGAATAAGACGATAATGATCTTAAGATGATGATAAAAATCAACGAATATGATGGGAGGATTACGCAGCAATGCAATACACTCGAAGTACCTTAGATACCTAAGGTATTGTACATAGGAACTTTAGCCAAGAAAGGTTACCTAGCCAACTACCTAGGTTAGCTACATGTAGCGTCGACAAGGCCACAAGCAAGGCTTGTACAAGGTGTAAGTAAGGCGCAAGGCGGTGGGCGATGGACGATGGACGAGGACCAATTTGGATGAGAGACGATGGGGTAACAATAGTTTGTATGTAGTGCAAACCGCAAAACCAACCTGCAAGGTAGGACAATGAGGAGTTACATAAACTAACAAAGTCGGGTATGTCGGGAGAATCGTTAGAAAGAGTGAATGCGGTTTAGTAAGGAGAAGGTAAGGGTTAAAAAGGGCGATGATAGTGTGTAAAAGTAGGGTAAAGTAGGTAAAATAGGTCAAAGTAGTGTAAGTAGTGTCAGTTCAGCCTCACGATTCCGTTCTATTATTTTCAGCGGATTGGAGAGACTGGAACGATGGCCCTGTACGTGGTGGGGAAAAAAGTTGGGTTATTTTCGATGGAAAAGGAAAAAGAAAAAGGAGACGGAGAAAATATGGAACTTGGCACCATATTTTTTTTTCTCTCACCATTCCACTCACCTTCTAAGGAAGGGGGGGAGGAGGAAAAGACAGGAGGGGAGGAGAGGAGAGGGGCGAACGATTCGCCGGGAATGGCTGGCTGGGTCGGGGTAGGCGGCGCAACGTCGCCGGAACAAGGATAGGTAACCCTAACAAGGGATTTGACAAGGATGCAAGCTACGGTATGCTGTGGTATGCCTGTGGTATGTCTTATCGATTGCGGAAATTATCCACTGATAATACCGCATTTGATTAAAAGTTCTCCATTGATTCCCACTGATTCCTACCGATCAGCATCGAAGCACCGCCAGAACAAGCACCAGAGATCTAGAGCTTCTTCCTACTTTGGGTAGCATGAACTGACCATGCCAGCCATCATGCTCACTATGCCCGTTATGCCCACTCAGCTAGGTGTACTTGCAGTAGTCGGCCGAAAGGGTAAAAGAGAAAAAAAGAAGAAGAAATGAAAACGGGGTTCCCCTTATCTTCCCTTTCGCCAGCTCCGAAAGGGCGGAAAAGAATCGAAAGCTAACGTACGTTTCATGCATCTAACAACTGACGAACTTGTTTGGAATCGGGGGGTGGATTTGGGGATTTTGGAGCTTTTAGTGTGGACAACGCCGATTTATGTATCTAATATCACATCGCATCGTATCGTATCGCATCGTCAAGAGGCGGGGGGAGGGGGGGATCCGTGCTAATAGGTTACTAGGCAGGTAGATATCTTGTCTACGATCTGGAGAAGAGAAAAGTGTCGAACTGGTGATGTTTTTACTCTTACGAGTTATGAGAACTACCCCGAGGTAGAGGATAAAGGGGGTATAAAAGGGTAAGATGGATAAATAAGCTTGTGTGTTTTACGTCAAGGTCGTAGAGAATCAGAGGAATCCGTAGGAATTCTTTCTTCATCGTGAAATGGTATTCTCAACATACTCGACATACTCGAGGATCGAGACTAATAACCTCTTACTGGAGGTTGTTATACTTACCGTCTTTGATCCCTCAATGAGGACTACCCGGGGTCGTCTCTTACATGACAAGTAATAGACTCGCTACCTCGCTGAATTCAAAACAGAACTCCAGTGTGCCAATTATAAAATCCTGATGGGGTTGGGTCGTCATTTAGACCTGTCGCTCACCAAGATCGAAGATGGCCGCTTAGTTCTGTTGTCGCTATAGTGTGGTGGATGAGGACGTGGACGCAAGTCAGTCGATCGACTCCGTCTTAGCTCAGAACACCCTGGCGGAGCCGTGCCATGAAACGCCAATTGTCCGTTCACTTAGATGGCTGCACGTGTGCACCCGCCTGCGTCCGCTTGCGTGCTTGCGTGCTTTTTTTCTCGATATGTATAGAAACAGGCCGAGGCGGTGTATGTCGGTGATAAGTCGGTGACTGAACACTAAGCCGTTTGCTGATTTGGCGCCATGTCCGTGAACAGATTCCGATTTTGGAACGTTCATGATCTCGCGGAGATGTCAGTAAATCAGAGCTATAAATGTCTCAAAAGCCCACCGAATGTCGGAATCGCCAAAAGCATGACTGACCCCATAAGATGTCTCAGAATTGTCTTGGAAACAAAGAGTTGAAGAAAAACAATAGAAAGTTTGTAGGTAGGAATTATCCTTGACCAGTGTTGTGCCTGGTTTACTTGGATGGACAAACAAAATCATGACAAATACAAGCGCTTTATATAGCTCTGGCCGCAATCCAATCCTGGCTGTAAAGAGACAACAAGAGTACCTAAGGTAGGTAGGTTACTTTGAGAGGGGTGACTTTGTAGATGGCAATTCTTCCGCGTTCCCGGTTTCCGAAAGAGGACTTAGAAGAAGGCGGTATTTCAAAGGACTTGCGGGTTAGGATAAAAATAGGGCCACAGGAATTTCGTGGGGAAATTCTTTTCAACCAGGCTGACGGTGTCGGATTGGCCAGAAGTGAGACAGACTCCGCATCGGGCCTGCCACCTCATCATGAGGCAGACAAAGACGGGATCTGTGGAGATGATGTGGTCTGAGAGTTGCGGCACGGCGGCGCCCGACGGCCCGACTACGTGTCGTCTGGCCTAGAAAACTGTGGAGGTCGACACGTCGGTCTCGTATCGCCCCTTCGCTCGACGAGTCCGTATCGGAGCACGTTGGAAAGCCATACCGACGACACCGGTCTAGAACCTGGCTCGGTGGCGCTCGGTTGCCTGAGCCGTCGAAAGGAGACCTCAGGTCCCCCGTTCTCGGAGACCGGCCCGGCAGCGGTACCAACTTCCCTGCACAAAGGTAATCATCCCGAACCACTCCATCTTCCATGGCCGTACAACCACCACTCAACAGGACGAATTACGTTTGGGAATGGGGCCAAAAGGAGAGAAGAGAATACTATCACATGACAATTTCCGCATCAAGCAATAACGGCTCCACACAGACACTCGGTATGCCATCTGGATCAGACAAGTATTTTGTAAGAACGGAGGCGTCTCTTTGGAATAGGTTAGGAGGTAGTTACCTAGGCTATACATGGTAACATTCCGACTCCGTCCTTTCGGGAGGTCCGGCTTATTAAGGTTATGCAAGGTTCGACATCATGTACGAGGGTAGCGGGCGGCCCCGAGACCACACGGCCGAAGCACGTGTCTCGTAGTCTATTTTTCTGTTGATCACTAGCTAGTAACGGTCCAAACAAGGGGTTTCCGTGGGCGTGGCCTGCGGAGTATCTAAAACCTCTAAATCTGTTACGCGTCTTGGGCTTTAGCTACGAGGTGTCAATATAGGCATGTAAACAATCGTCCAGATGGGATATCCCGAGGACGAATAGGGTAGGACCTGGTAGGGTTCCCGAGTTTCCGGTTTGGAATGGTTGGCATAGCTTAGCAAAGGAGAAGGATCTTGGTCCGTTGCGAGGTGCTACGGTAGATATGGACAGCCAAACTCGCGTATCCGTTCCAAATCGAGCATGTTCGCCTCGTGCTTCCTATCGTGTGCTACTTTGTCACTATTGGACGACCACGGTCGGCTTTGTTCCTGGAAGAACAACTCAAAATCTGCCAACCTGTCTCCGCGGTACCGTAGAACCCTCGTAATCTGTAACTCGAGGATCGGCTCTCCGCTACCAAGATCGAGCCCCTTTCCCCAGTCGGTCGCCACCGCGTTTGACGTCACAGCGTTGAACGCGACGAAGATCGTCCGTCTCGTAGCGGCGTGAGGGCATCTCTAGCGCTTGGCAGACCGGCGTAAAAAGTGAGGGGAAGGGGAGAGAGAGACCAGGAACAAGAAACTCATCGTACAACTGCGACCGGGGGTGTTCGGCAAGTGAGAATCTAGAACTGCA